CCTTTAATAGCGAGAATATTGTCATTTTCATAAATTATGCGAGGAGACAGTAAAACATCTTTTTTATTAATGAATGCGTTTCCTCCAAATGGTCTTCCAAATGCTTTTTTTTTCTGCCGCATGAAAAAATACTTTATGTGTCGGCAATGCCATGTTTTTTAGCACAAAAAGTTGAATATTCATAAGCCAATGCTCCGATAGAAAAATAATATTAAATGATTTGACCAGTTTGGAAGTATAAATTGAGTTCGATTTAAAACTTTGGCAGTTATATGCACAAAAAGAAATATTTTCAAAGGTTTTACTTTCTATGTTTCCTTCCATTTTGAATTAGAATTTAGTATTCGAGTTGAGTAAGAATGTTGCTGTGCAAAGGATGGTTGTTCTTTAGATGGAGAAAATATTTGTTGAGTTGGTTGTACAGAGTGTAGCGTATTAACTGCACTCTGCTGTGGTGTTTCGTTTCTTGAGGTAACACGATGAAGCCTGAATGGTTTAACGATAATATTAGTATCCCAAATATCAGGGTTTAGGATTATGTCTTTTTCAGTACTTTTTATGATAACTTTGAATGAACGATTGTATTTATTGTCCCGGTTAAGCTCTACCTTAATAGGCTCAATACCTATTTCATTTTTGATGTGGTTAGATAGATCTTCTTCCGACATTGTGTTACAGACCACTCCTACAAAGATATAAGGTTCTCGCACCGTACGTTCGCCTGCAATAGAGTTTCTGTTAAATGCAACTTTTTTTCCGAAAATAGGCTTCATTATAGACCTTTTTGTTGGGACTTTATTTGTTGCATTGTTTTTTTTGACTACCATAAAGGAACAATCTTTTTTTTTTTCCAGTCCTCTCTTTTTTCAATAATTGGTGGCTGCATTTGAACCTTTTTAACTTAGGTGACTCTATTTTGGTTTCCGTTTTCGTATGTTTTTAAACTGGACTCCATAATGGTAGTCTCATCATGAAGGAAATGTAAAGGTATATTATTTAAAGTATTTTCATTATTTGAGGAATGGTTTTCTATTGAATCAGAGACAAAAGATTTTTTAGTATTTAGCGGTTTTTGAAATGATAAATTACTGCAGCTGTTTGAAAGCAACGTGTTTTGATTTTTTTCGATTTTTTTGCACGTTTACTGCAATTCATCATATTTTCCTTGTAATAAATGTAGGTCGTCTCGAATTTTCTTGTTTTCTAATTTTATTGTTTTAACGCAATCGACGAGTTCTTTTAAGGTCGACAACAGACTTACATCATGTAATTGTTGACTATTTTGTTTGCAATTAGATACCAATTTATTAAAATCTTTGTGAAGCTGTTTTTCTGTTAATGATATCGACATCAAATATATGTCATCTAGACATGTTGCAATTTTATACCGCTTTCTAAAGTTTTTTCTTACAGGATCTTCAGCGTCAAGAGTAATATTGATAGAAGAGAATTGATCCATATCAAAACTTTTTATAATTTCGGTAAATAGTGTTACTCTAAGATTAAAAATATCAGCTTCTTTAAGTTGCAAAAATACTTGAATGATAACATCTTTTGGATGAGAGCATATTTCCGCGATATTATTTAAGTAATATACACATATATTATTATTCGAACTCAAAATTGAGAATATCTCATTAATTTCTCTTGGAGCCATCTTTGCATTTTATTATGAACTTTTTTTTTTTTTTTACTTAGTTAAAAAGCACGTCCGTTCACCATAAGAACCATACAACAAAAAAAACTATGAAAAATTATGAAAAGACGAAAAAAATTAAAATAATAAATTTTGCAGTATCATAAAATAAAAATGTTTGTAGCGAAAAAACCCAGACCTTGGAATATTTTTTTTTTTTTAAATCATCTTAAAATCACAATTGCTCGTCCAAATTTAAATAAGATTTTATATTAATACGTTTTTTAGATGAATTGAATATTATAGTTTAACAATATGATCTGTTCTGATCGTTTAATGGCAATTTTTTTTATAGTTATAAGCTCTTTTATTGATCGGAATTCCAGTATTTTTTGTGAAAATTGATAGAAACATTGTGTTTTAACAACTATATATAGTTAATAAAGTCATAACCGATTAGAACTAGGATCAGTAGTAAATTAAGAAACTTTTTTAAAAGATTTTAACTAAACTCATGTTAACTAGCAGTAAGCAACCCGTAATACGCGTTGTTAGTAAATAAAATTAAAAAAAAAAACCGCGTATTGAAAAGCCTAGAAACTACTTTAAAATAGAAAATGACGTAACTCGAATAATAATAATAATGTTAAATTAGCGTATTCATATTATCAGATGCCATGAGCGGAATTTATCTAGACTCCAAAATAGTGTTCTTTAGATACATTATTACAGGTAGTAAAAAGATTTTGAAAATTATATATAAAAAAGAAAAGTTTCTTTAAATATTATAAAAACCTTAAGCAAAAAAAATTATAACATTTAAAGATCTTGTTTGGGCATAACATGCTGACAAAACCATGCTAATTCCAAAAAAAAGTATTCAAATATTTTGTAAATCGCCTTAGCTACACCGGGTTCGAGCGAACTTTTTGTCTTGTGGAAAACGGCCTATAGTGACTTTATTTTCTAAAGAGTTTAAACTAACCTCTTTTAATGATAAAAAAAAAAAAAAAATCATCAAGTCGTTTCTAGTAATTTAGTTATTTAAAAAAAGTAGAATTTGCAGACTTTTAATCCATATTACAAAACTATTAACTAACTAAGAGATTTTTTCAATTGGCAAATTTATGCTCCCTTTAACAAAAAAAAAGATCAACCAGATATCTCTAACTATAAACCTGTATCAGTACTTTTATTTTCAAAATTTTCAACATGTAATTTTTAATATAATCTATAACTATTTTACAAAAAACATTTTTTTTTTTTTTTACGCTAAACATTTTGGTTTTAAAAATAAATGTATAAATTATGTTAACTCTTGTTCTGAAAGTTTTAAGGATAATTTCAGGAGATTATCCAAAGCTTTTGAACCTGATTTCGCCGCCATATCATACGGAAATCATTCGACTGGACATGCAATTATTTAAAATAACAGACCAAACTACTAAAGGTTTTGAAAGTAATATCCTATGACCTATTACATTGCTTTAATTACTATTCAAATATTACATTGGCTAGTACTTAACCAACAAAATTTTAAAAACATATTTTCTCTAAAAAAAACATGTATATTGTATATATGGCTTAAGTCATCCGCATCTTCTCTGAGTTAAGAGAAGATGCTGACGTTAACACACTGAATTTAGACGTCTAAAAGGTGTTAAAATGTTAAAATCTCTTAAATGTCTAAATTCAGATAACTATAAGACATCTAACTAGTCATCTTTGATAGTAGCCATCTTTAATAAAACGAATAAGTCTCAAAGATGACTGCTATTAGATAATCTAAAAAGACGTGTTTGTGCTGGCATTGTCGATAAAAAGATCGGGCATCAGAGTTGGTAATCTTTATTTTTTTGAACGAGGATGGAAGAGTGTCCATTTAGTTTTATCATTGTTTAGAGATAACTTATTTATTTTGAACCAATCAGAAACTTCCTTTCTTATGTAAGCGTTTTTTTAGAAAAGATTTTTTTTACATAAATTGCAAATTATTTAAAAACAGAAACTACATGGTACTAAGTACACATACAAGTATCATATTAAATTTTATTTTTAGCTATCTTTTTAGTATTATAAATAATATTATATTTAAATTGTACTTTATTGCGCCGGCTACAATCGTTAAAAAGAATGATTTATCGTTGCGACAAATATTATAGGTCTCAAACTTACTTGTGTCAACCACTTTAGTTTTCTAATACTTTTAAGTTACTTTACTAAAAAAAAATTGACCAAAACAAATTCGGCTAACGTGCTTTGTTAGTTATGGATTGGGGCCACAATTTGAAAATTATATATTAATAATATTTATTTAAACTCATCTAATAGGGCAATGATGAAAACAAAAAGAGAAAGTGAGAGATCAAAATTTAAATGGTTTTTAAACTGATACAATAATAATAAAAAATTGTAATTTTATTTTTTCGTATCAGAAAATTTACTACTAAATAATGTCTATGATAGTACAATTTTATTTTAAAATTACATATTTTTTAAAATATACTTGTTTTCATGAGTATATTTGCAGAACAATAACTCCTTTTTCCCTGAAAGTATTTCAGAAAAAGCAAGTTTATAATGCTTGCTAGCATTTTTTGATGCTCGCAAGCATTTGTTTGCTAGCACTAAAAAAGAGAATAAATTCAATTTTTCATTAATTATCATTGTATAAAACTAAGATACATTTATTATTTAAAATATCACTTTATTTTTAAATTGTAATTTTTAAACATTATGTTTTTGTCTTTTTTTAAACTAACCTAACATTTGTTGAATAACCAGCCTTATTTGAAGAATTCTCATTAAAGACTTTTCTTTAACTTCTCACTTTTTCTTCTCAAAAATTATCACAGTTTTTTAGTTGCGGAATCTTTGTTTATAAAAAAGGAAACATTTATATTGACAATACTGTATTTAAGCTACATAATGTCTTATTATAAAATTTTGTCTTACTTTACTTGCCATTTTACGTCAAACTTAATAGTGAGTTATCTGTCTAGTAGAAACACCTCAACACCCTGTGTTAAGGTGTTTCTACTAGATAGATAACTATAAAGGAAACAAATTCCTGTAATAAACTTTAATAAAAGGTTTTAGAAAAACATTTTAATTTGTTATTTTATGCCTTTAACAGTAATAACTATTCGTACCATTGCTGGTGACGACAATATTTATCAGTGACAACCAACCCCTACCAGTGAGGAAATGCTGTTGTTAAAAATACTTTTTTAGAGATATGCAAATGTCAATTTTTACAATATTTTTTTCAAAATATTTCTTTTATATTAAATTAAAAAAATTTTAAATATATGCTTCATATCAAATTAAAAAAAATCCTAGTTATAAAAAGCAAAAACAAAGATTACTAAGCAAGCATGGCTTTTTCTATTATATTTTGATCTTTAATTACACCATCTTCCACGACCAGCTTATCAATTTTCACAACCTCTACTGGTAATGAATCTTCGCACATTTCATCGTAAATACCATAAGCGGGAACCAAACCCTCTCCATGAGGTGTATCAAGACTCCTTTTGTTCAACAATATTTCTCGTTTACGTCGACATGGAGTGTTCGCACGTTTTTCTAAAAATTCATTGTTATTTTTAATATCATCTTGTTTTGATAAAAGATCTGGCTGTCTTACTAAATCCCAGTCCTCGTTTTGGCTTCCTATTAAGTTTGAAAAGTCTGTGTTTACAATAGGGTTTCCATCAGTATCTCTTTTAACAGTTTCTGATAACCTATCATTAAAAAGTTCATCGTTTTCACTGCTTTTTATATTTAATGCATTAAGCATGGTTTGAAGCTGTAACTTTTTAACACTTTCTCTATTCATTAAGTCTCTTTTTGTTTTCATAAATGAAATAATTGGAACTCGACGGCAGGTCACATGAAGAATATATAACATTGGAAACAAAATAACTTGAACGAAGTAAGGACCTGAAAATGAAAACCAAAGTAAATATCCAAAACTAATTAAACAACAACAATAAATAATACTAATAATAAAACAGGAGCTCTAAAGAAATCGGCAGTATTTAGTTAAATTTACTTAATGTTGTTTTTAACGGATATTAAACATTTTAAGACAAAATAAATAACCCAGCCGGCACAACTCAGAAAAAAGTTACGCTTGGTTTCTGTTGCGTGTTTAAAACCTTCTAAACCAAAAATAATAACATATGCCAAAAATGGTTTCTATTCCGTGAAACTATCAATAATTACTTACCATAAATACCAGTTAAAAAATTAATGGTTTCACCGTTATGGAAACGTAGTATTATATTAAACTAAATTTTCGTAAAGGAACCAGTGAAAAAATCCCAATTAAAGCTGTCCGGGAAATAAACGCGTTTTGGTTGGATTGTGACAAACACGTGTCTCTACAGATTTTAATTCCATTAATGAGAAATATTATTAGAGACTTTTGATTCAACAATTTCAACATAAAGTATAATAACTATCAATATCTAATCAAAATTTTTATTTGAAGGCTGACAGTGCCTTAAAATTTTCGCTTAATGGCCAGCAAAACAAATTTATATATCTAAAGCTTTTTATATTCACTAAGTTCTAATCTATATATTAAAACTTGATTTGAAATAAAAATACTTGCCTTGAAAATTCATGTTAGATGCTCGTTTTCTTTTTCATGCTTCTTTAGAACTAAAAAGGTAAAAAGTTAATTTATAAAAAATGCGTAATAAGTGTTTTTATTGTTTAATATATTTAAAATTATTCTTTGTGCAAAAAAAAAAATAACTCTTAGTAATTGCAGTAACACATTTGTTTTGCAAAAATCAAGAGACTTGCAAAGCTTTTAAAACCTTTGGTAAAAAATCAAAAAATAAAATACTTGAATGTAGCTTTTTAATAGCCGCACTATTGCATTAATTAAGAACAGAAACCATTTTTTCTTAGTGGAAAATTTTACGCAGCTTTGCACATATCATTAACATTTGCTGGCCGGTGGAACAATGTGGAACCGATGGAACAAACTCGCATGAGTGAGCAAAAGCGTTTAGTTATAACAGTTGAGAGCAAAAGCAACGGTTCGTGTAGATTTTTTTAAATATATACTTTGAATCTTCGCAACCTTTATAATAATTGAAAAAAAAATTTTTTTGTATAAAATTAAGATATGCGTTACAATACTTAATGAAAACCAAGATTTCATGACAAAATATTAAGTATAAACTAAAGTAGTCACTAAGTTACAATAATAAAAATAAATTAATTAATTTTCTGTTAGAGAAATACATAATAAAAAGGTCGTTTTTAGTTGCCATATTTGCATATTAGATGCTTGAAAGACTTTTGGAAGTTATCTTTCATGTCATCGAAAGAGTTTATTCAATCAATTGATCAACGGGTCTATTGCTTAATTTATCAAATGCTTTGATTAGCACCTTCCTAATTCTGAAAAGTAGTAGTCACTATTTCATTTTCAGTTTTTGTTACTTTTAACTGGAAGTAAAACTTGCTTTGTGTTTACCAGTTTTATGTTTAATAACTTATGTTATATATACGTTATGTTTAACCTGCCAAACTCGCATCAAATTTGCGCTTGCGCTTAATAAGTATGTCAAAATAGTATTTTTATTTTTTTATTTGGTTTTTTTGCGACATTTTTTTTTTTAAGAACTTTATTCCTTTAGTTTTCCAAGGAAGTATCTTGCTTTAAGAAATATTTCACTTTAAAGAAAATTTGCGTCGCTTTGAAAAAAATGTTAAAAATGTAATAATATATATAAATATTTAATTAAATTAATAATATTTATTTAAAATAATTATTTAGTTACTGTAATTGGTATTGCAGCAACTAAAGTTACTAATAGCATTTGTTATGTTTGCCGCATTGTCAGCGCAGATATCGCAAAATCTGCATTTTAATGGTTCCGAATTTTTTTTAAACTAGAGTTCACTTATTTTTTCAAATATAAGGAACCGTGTTTTAATCGCGTTTTAAACCCGATTCTTTTACAAAAATTATTATTATTTTTTTTTTATCTAGACAGTGCTTTTAAGAATTTTTTTTCACCGGTTGCTGTAACCAGGTAGCTCAATTTTTTTTAAAAATAATTCCTTTCGTCTTTTCGCTTTTAAATGTCTTAAGCGTGAATTAAAAGATCAAGAGAAAATTTTTGTACCAAAAATTAGGTATATATGTGGAGGTGTTTTTTACAAGTTTTTAAAATGATTCTAGGACGGGGATCGCCCAAAAAGCCGAATTCTAAAACGCCGAAAAGCCGAAATGCCGAAAAAAATGGCGTAATAATAGACTTCGGTAACCGTCAAAAAAATCAACGAAAAGTTAAATATCCCCCGGATTTTTTATTGCGCATTTGTAAATGCAAAGTTTAAAAGGACTTCTGTCCTTTTAAACTTGGCAAAAGCCAAATTTGGCTTTTGGTTCTGTCCTTTCAAACTTTCGCGAATAAAAATAGAAAAAGAGACGAAATAAAAATTAATGTTATAAAATTATTTTGAAACTTTTTTGCTAATTTTATATTTAGTTGTGTTATCGAAAAAATTTGCGTAAAAATTATTAACTAATTAAATATTAAAATTTTTAATTAGAGTTATTCATTATGACCAGGGTGAACCATAAAGCAAGAGAATTCTCATAAATAATTGCACAAGAACTGTGTAAAGATAAAAACCCTTGTTGTTGTGTAAGAGAAACTACTGGTACACTACAACAATTCTAACCAAACTTGGTCCTTAAGCAGAGAACATCTTTTATGATAATATTTCTTGTTATACGAGGTTGGAAAATATTCTATGTAGGCTTTAAACTCATGTAAGAATGAATCCTTGCACACTGAGCAACATTGACAAAAGATATCTTTGAGAATCTCTACCAATAATTTGCGCCTTCTACGAATCTTTTCCCGCATTCAAAGCTTTTGTGAGCGATGTTAAACAGACCAAAACATTGAAACATCGCAAATGACAGAACAAAATATACCTTTTAGCTTTTTTGGTCTCATTAAAGAGTTAAAGACTTTTTAGAAAGAGTTTTTTAATATACCTTGTTTTAAATATATATGGGTTTGAATCACATCAATTATTTCATTAAATAGAATAAAGCCTCGTGTAATCTCTAAAATACGCGGGCAATTAATTGCAACATATTTTTTTTCTAAGATTAAAGAGTTAATTCTTATAAATTTTAGGTCGCTGAATTCGAAAAAGTTATCAAAAAAATTCCATCATGTAAGGTTTTTCTAAAAAACGCAAAATGCTGTGGGATTGTTTATTTTAGGGCGCAAAACGGGGTTTATTGCCAAAATATTTATATTTTTTTTTATTAACTTATTATAAGATAATTTTATGTTTCGTAGGCTAAAACAAAATATTTAGTAACTCATGAAGATAATATTAGTAAGCGTTGAACCATATATATATCGGGATTTTCCATAGTAAGTATGGAAAATCCCGATATATACAAAACAACAATGAAATATTACTGAATTTGTTAAAAATGTGTACTTGTGTATCTTGGTGTGAAGATAGGCAATCAGGACAAATTTTGGGCTCCGCATGGAGTTTGTTCAGGGTGCGTTGAAGAACTTAGAATGTGGTCAAAAGGTAAAGTTAAATCTTTTCGTTTTGGTGTACCCATAATCTGGAGAGAGGCTCGAAACCACAGCGATGACTGCTACTTTTGTTCGTGTTATGTGCAGGGTTATAGTACTAAAAATAAAAAATAAATTTTTTATCCAAACATGGAATCGACACTCCACCCAGTCCCTCACGGACCTGGCATTCCTACACCACAAGCACCCCAAAGTCTAGATGATTTACCATCATTAGAAAGTGAATCAGAAGAAAGTTTTTGTGACGAGTTTCAGTTAGGCGACTACAGTAGTCCTCAACATTTTTTTCAAGCTGAATTAAATAACCTGATCCGAGATTTAGGACTCTCAAAACAATCTGCTATTCAAAACATATCTGCAAAATAAATATTTTGAGCCCTTATTTTCCTCAATATGGTAATATGGTCTATTGTTCCGATAACAATGGGTTAATATCCATGTTCAAAGTTCAACGTATGGCTGAAAGTTGGAGACAGATTATTGATTCTTCAAAAAGAAGAATAAAAGCTTTTTTACTTCACAACAAGAATAAGTACGCATCAATACCCGTTGGTCACTCAGTGCATTTGAAGGCAACTTATTGTAACTTGGCATTGATCTTGGATTAATTAAAGTACAAAGATTTCGAGTGGACAGTTTGTGGGGATCTTAAAGTAATTTCTATGATACTTGGACAGCAAGGTGGTTACAAAAAGTTACCCTTTTTTCTTTGTTAATGGGATAGTCGTGCTAAAACTAAACACTGGAAGCAAAAAGTGTGGCCAAAAAGAACATTGAAGATCGGAGATGAAAACGTGCACTTTGAATCTTTGGTTGATCCTAAAAAGGTCCTTCTACCACCACTCCATATCAAACTTGGCATGATGAAGCAGTTTGTGAAGGCATTGCTAAAAGATGGTGAGACATTTAAATTTTTTTCAAGCAAGTTTCTTGGTCTGTCTGAAGCAAAGCTGAAAGAGGGAGCTTTTGTTGGTCCTGACATTCGTGAGCTAATGAAAGATAACAACTTTGAAAATATGGTGAACTATGTTGAGAGGTCAGCATGGAATTCTTTTAAAGACGTAGTAACAAATTTTCTAGGGAATCAGAAAGACTCGGACTTAAAAAATATCGTAGAAAATATGTTGTGCAATTCTAAAAATCTGGGATGCTCAATGAGTTCAAAACTCCATTTTTTGAACTCCCATTTGGATTACTTCCCGGAAAATCTTGGTGCAGTTAGTGAAGAGCAAGGTGAGAGGTTTCACCAAGATATAAAAGAAATGGAGAGAAGGCATCAAGGTCGATGGGATACAAATATGATGGGCGACTACTGCTGGATGCTGCATAGGGAAAATGTAACATCCCACAAAAGAAAAAGCTCTAAACGAAGCTTCGAAACTAAAAAAACTAGATTTTATAAAGCTTTATAGTTTTATATAATGTATACAAATTATTTTATGATTTAAAATGAACCAAATTTGCATAGTTTTACCATTTTTTTTCTTCTTATGATTATTGTCTAAAATAGTAGTGTAAGGCGGGCTTTGCCCATATTTTATTTTCGACTTAGCGGAAAATCCTTACGTAATGGGTCGAAATGGATGGTGTTATTGAAATCAGCATACCAAAATACATATAATTCACCCATTCCAAAAAAAAAAAAAAAGTATTAATTTGCAGACCTGTGTAATTAATAAATATATTTTAAAGCTCCATTATTTATAAAAACTTAAAAATTTTAGTAGTAATAGCAAATATAAAATGCGAATTAAAAAAATATTGGCGGTACCCACATAGACCGTAATAAATTTTTAAATGTTAAAACTTTTTTTTAAAAGTTAGTTATTAGAGAAATAATTATTTAGCACCGATACTGTTACTTTCTAAATTAATTGATGATGTCAAATGTAGGAATAAAAAAAGAGTTTCTTTAAAATTACAAATAAAAACGTTTTTTCATATTTTGGAGCACTGCACAGTGGGCCAAAATCATTATTAGTTGGACAAAATTAATAACTTTTAAAATATTTATCAGGTTTTTCCCATAATTAGCAGCTTGAGTATATTTCATATAACAAATCTAATGGCACCATTAGATTGTTTATTTGGTTGCCATGGATACCTATATTTCATGTCAACAGGCATTTTGCATAGTTACCTAAATAAAAAGACTTTCTCAAAATATCAAAGTTATAAACTAAACTGATATTAATGCTACATTGCTATTTTATGTATTTGAATGATAACACAAACAAAAAATTATCAACTTTTGGTGTTACTATGCTGTTATGTGCTCTTAGAAACCAGTTGGTAATTTTTTTTGAAACTTTTTCTTAATTCAAAATTTCTTTAAAAAATGAAATAAAAACTTTTAAAACACTCTTAACTATAA